CCCCCCCACACACACACGCATGCTCACTTTTCTGCACTTCCTGGACATTTGCATATACTGTTTGGTGAGAGATTTGGGTGTTGGAGTCGGAAAGAGGGACTCTAGGAAGCCCCTCCCTGCACTCCTGAACCCTAATCTGAACCCAGAGGGTGTCACTGGGAATGGTGTGTGCAGTGGGTAAGTGACAGTGAGACCAGGGCAAGGATGGTTCAGTGGTCATTAAAGGCCTTGGACATGGAGCTAAAATACTTGGATTTGTTCTGTAAGAAGCCATGGCTTTTCATAAAAGTCAGATTTATTTATACACACACACACACACACACACACACACACACACACATTTTTTTTTCCAAGACAGGGTTTCTCCCTGTAGTTTTGGTGCCTGTCCTGGAACTCACTCTGTAGACCAAGCTGGCCTTGAACTCACAGAGACCTGACTGGCTCTGCCTCCTGAGTGCTGGGATTAAAGGTGTGTGCCACCACCACCCGGCGACTTATTTATATTTTTATTTACTTATTATTATTGTTTTTTGGACAAGGTCTCACTATGTAGACCAGGATGGCCTGTAACTCATAGAAATCCCCTTGACTTTGTCTCCTGAATGCTAGGAATAAAGACCTGTGCCACCACACCCAGCCTTAAAAGTCAGATTTATAATAGTATTACTTGCATACATAAAAGTCCTTTCGCAGGCATGCAGTTTATGAGGTTTAAAATTATTACTTATTTCTAATTTCTAGTTATGTATGTATATGCACAGCTGAGAGTGGGTTTGTGCATGTGAGTGCAGTGCCCACAGAGGCCAGAAGAGGGCGTCTGGTTCCTGGAGCTGGAGTTAAAGGCGTTTGTGAGCCACTCAGTGTAGGTGCTAGAAACAACTTGTCTTCTTCAGGAATAGTGTGTGCTTTGAACCACTGTGGTGGCTTGAATAGGAATGGCCCCCATAGACTCATGTGTTTGAATGCTTGGCCCATAGGGCGTAGCATTATTAGGAGGTGTGGCCTTGTTGGAGGAAGTGTGTCACTGTGAGGGCAGGCTTTGAGGGTTTATATGCTCAAGTTTTGCCCAGTATAGCACATGACCTCCTTCTGCTGCCTGTGGATCAAAATGTAGAACTCTCAGCTCCTTCCAGCACCATGTCTGCCTGCATGCCTCCATGCTTCCCACCATTGACAATAATGGACTAAACCTCTGAAACTGTAAACCAGCCCCAATGAAATGTTTTCCTTTATAAGAGTTGCTGTGATCATGGTGTCTCTGCACAGCAACAGAAACCCTCACTAACACAACCACTAAGCCATTGTCTAGCCCCTAATTTGAAAAATGTGTTTGTGCATGTGGAAGCTAGAGGGACAGACTTTGGTGTCATTTCTCAGGAATACTGTCCACCTTATCTGGGGGATGGGATCTGTCGTCGTCCATCTGGAGCTCACCCACTAGGCTAGGCTGACTGGCCAGCAAGCCCGATCTGCTTGTCTCCACCTCTGCAGGGCTGGGATAACTAACAAGTGCATGCTGGGATCACAAGTGCATGCTGGGATCACAAGTGCATGCTGGGATTACAAGTGCATGCTGGGATAACCTTCTTATGTGGGTGCTGGGGATCAAACCCAAGTCATCTTGTATGCATGGCAGGCACTTCACTCATGGAGCCGTCTCTTCGGCTCCCAGTTTCTGAGTTTGACAAGTGCACACAGTTGTGAAACCACACTCTGCCTTTGTCGAGGCACTGTGTCCACACCGATGACTAATGTGTTTGCCGTTCCCGAATGGAATCGACCACGCACGGACACATCTTTCCCTTTCATTTTACACAGTGCTCTTGAAGTTGCCCACATTGCAGCGGCGGATTGTTCCCCTGCTGCCGGTGTGTCCGAGCGTGTGGATAGGCTGCCTTTTGTTCCCATCTCAGTGTTTATGAAAGTTGCCTTAAGGAGCTCATACAGCGCTCTGTATAGCCAGGTTTTCATTTCTTTCCGGTAACTGGCCCAGAATGGGCTGTTTTAGGTCATTTGGCAGACGCACACACAGCGGTCTCTAAGCATTTCACCAGCAATGTGTGAGGGTTTGCTTGCGTCACGCCCTGGTTTTGGTTTTGTGTTGTGTTTGGTGGTGCTGGGGATTGAACCCTGTGTCTTGTGTATGCTAGACAGCACTCTACCACTGAGCCGCAGCCCAGCCCCACCACATCGGTGGTCACGTCGCATTCTGAATTTTGTCGTTCTAATTGTTTCGCCATGGTTCGAATTTGCATCTCTTCATGAAAGGACGTTGAATATTTCTTCACTTCTTTGCTAAAGTATTTTCAACGCTTTTTATTTATTCGTTTTAAAGAGCAGGCTGCATGAATATATATATATATATATATATATATATATATATTGCTTATATTATGTTTGGAGAATTCTTTGTCTTTATTTTCAATTTTTACCTATGTGTCTGTGTCATCTGTGTCTGTGGGTGTGCCCACATGGGTGCAGGTGCCCACAGGGGTGCAGGTGCCCACAGGGGCTGGAGGCTTCCAATCACAGGGAAGGGAGGTGCTGGAGTTATTTATGGTTGTGAGCTTTCTGATGTGAATGCTGGGAACTGAATGTGGACCCCTCTGCATTCAGCTCTGAGCCATCTCTCTGGCCCCACATTTTGAAAAATTTTTAAATATTATCGTCCTAAGTCCTTTCTTAGACATTGTAGTTACGAATACAAGTGAATACTGTCTCCCAGGTACTCCTAAGGATTTTAGCGGGAAGCAACTTTTGTGTTTTAGGTGGGTAGATGGAGAGGGGGGGGCAGAGACAAAGATTCTGTCTCAAAGTCTAGTTGAGCGATGAGGGTCTAGGGAGGGGTGCAGAGACCTGAGACATGGACCCACGGGTGGCAGGAGAGGCCCCTTTACTCTGGTGAGCCCTCTCTCACTCCTTCATCCTTTGACTAAGATCTGTAGCATAGCCTCGCAGCCCTGGGTCATGACTGAGGGTTCGGAACAAAAGCATGTAACAACCACAGCCCTGTCTCCATGGAGACCCTGCCTGTTCAGTGGGGAAAACAGGCAGTCACTGAGAGTGTGCCGCATGTGACAATGGCCACTAGCTGCGGTTGGTCACGGGAAGGTAGGGGTTCCTATAAGAAAACCAAGTTGCTTGCAGGATGGAGATACAGTCCTGAGCAGGGGCAGGGTGTTCGACTCCTGGCTCACTATCTAAACGGTGGAAGGAGCATGGGACTGAGGTTGGAAGCTCAGGGGTGCTGGCCCTGAGTTCTGGCCCTGACCCTGGCCTTAGGTGATCTCATGCAAGCTTGCCCTCCTCTCTTTAGGCCTCAGTTTCCCTGTCAGGGCAGGGCTGTATTATCTTCCAGATGCTATGGTTTTGTTTGTTCATTTGATTTTTGAGAGGACTCACTCTGTAACCCAAGCTGTCCTGAAACTCATTATGTAGCCCAGGCTGGCCTCAAACTGATGGTGATCCCCTTACCTCAGCTTCCCAGGTACTGAGGCTCCAGGCATGAGCCACTGTACATCAGTGGCCGGTTTTCTTTTTTTCTTTTCTTTCATTTTTAGACAGGGTCTCACATAGCTCCGACTGGCCTCAAGTTCACCGTGTAATTGAGGTTGGCCAAACTTGCCACCTCTACATCCCAAGTACTGAGATGGCATGTGCCACCACGCCCAGCTTGCTCGGTTGTTTTTTGGTTTTTCCTGTCTGTTTTGCATGTGTATAAAATGTGTTTGTGTGTGTGTGTGTGTGTGTGTGTGTGTGTGTGTGTGTTTGCGCGCGCGCGTGCCTGTGCCCATGTGTTTGTATCTGTGTAGAGGCCTCAAGTTTATATGGGGTGTCTTCCTCAATCATTCTCTGCTTTATTTTATTGAGTCAGAGTCTCTTGCTGAGGCTGGACCTCACCGATTCTGGCTAGTCTAGTTAGACTTTATGTGTTTTTCCCTTGGAATTCTTATAAGACATTCTGACTGCGATGAAATGGGTACAAAGTAGAGATCCCTTCCTTAGAAAGGGGTCCTTTCTGGAGGTCATGAATCTTGGCCTCTCAACCAAGGTAGGATTTCCCTGTGATGCACAGCTAACAGCCACCTACTCATCCACCCACGGACGAGGAACTCACCGTCTTGCGAGGGATCGTGTCCATATTTCTCTCTTTCTTTTTTTTACAGGGAACGGATTACACCTTTTACAAAGGGCAAGTGCCCTCCCACTGTGGATTACAATTCAGATCCTGTTCCTTAAAGCCACACGAGGAGGACCACCTGATGCGCCCAGAGGGCCCAAGGCCTGAAGAGAAATCTTGGCATGGGAGGATGGGAAAGGAAGCAGGGGCCTCGGAGAATGCCTGGGGGAGGGGAGAGACCAGGAGGGTCATCTTTGCGGTGGCCCTGTGGCCCAAAGTCACAGAGTCTGCTGGGACAGTTGGGGGCCAGGTATCTTGTTACAAGAGATCCATTGTCCTGAGCATTCCAGTCAGCTGGTGGCATGAATTTGGGAGCCAGACAGTAGGTGGGGGGGAGAGGGGCATGTGGGTGACTCCCTGGAAACCTTCCACTGTTAAGCCAGAGCGTGGGTACCCAGCCCATTGTCCCAGAGGAGGTGGGAGGGGAACATTTGCCATGCAGCAGTCTAGGCCCCTGCAGGAACACCCCACCTCCACACTAGGATGCTTCTGGAAGCTCACCAGGGCTTCCTGCAAGGAGGAGGCTGCTGATCTCCAGACAGGGGCCAGCAACTGAAAGAGCCTCTGCACCCCAGAGTCAGCACTGTGGGCACACAAGTATAGTCAGGTGGGTCTGTGGGGGCCGAGTGACAACTTCCTGCCTTGCTTTCTTCGCTGTTTACATCAATGAGAGCTGAGTGGGGGTGGGGGGGTGAGGGTTGTCCCCAGAGAAGAGGGTGCTGGGACCCAGTGGACTCAGCCACAGACCTCACATAATAAAGCACAGTAGATCCTTCCTCCAGAGCGGGTTTTGTCTCCCCAGTTGCGGCCTCACTTGTGCTAAAGAGGCTGTTGTGGGCGGAGGGAAAGTGTCTCTATTCACAGAGATAACTGAATCCTCTCTGTAAAAGCTGACCCCGCTGACTCTTCAAACTGGCCTGATAGTTAATTCATCAAGGTAACAGGAAATAAGATCAGTCTATCCGATGAACTCTCCATAGACTAGAAAACACAGCGCTGCACACTGAAATTTAAAATGTCATCTGTAGCAGCTAGGGAGCCCCTGACGCTGCCTATTGGGGTTAGAGCACACATCATAGCATCCAGCTTTTCTGCGGGTCTTGGGTCTCATATAAAATAAAAGAATAAATCTTTTTTGAAAGTTAAAAAATAACTGCAATAAAACTTTAAAAAGACTACCTTATAGAATGAGTGCATTTTAGGAAATATTTTGGCCAGCTCTTGTATCACTGGCACTTGCCATCACCATAGAAAAGGTGAGCAGATTGGAAACCCTTGCCTTTGTAGGTGAGAACCCTGGGAAGTTGGTTTAAACACTTGGCCCGGAGGTAACCGGCGAGCTTGCGCGTGTTACGAAAGTCACGTGTGCTATAGGATTCCCACCTCTTACAGGCTCCTCAGACTGCCAGGGCAGGCTTTACGAGAAGTCCCAGGGACACCATACCTGCAGGAGCTGGTACATCAAAACCCCCAGTTCTCGGTGCTCAGGCAGAACTGAAGTGTGTTCTCCACAGGCTTAGGTGACCCTAGCTGCCCACAGGGCAAGCTGACTGAGAGCGCTCACTGCCGGCGCCATCCCTCCCCACGTTCCTCCCGGGGTTTTCTTTACCTCCTAGCAACCCACTTGTACTCAGGTCTTTAGCTCAGGGTTGGGAAAGGGACATACCAAGATGAACACTGACATCTTTTCTGACAGCCCAGTGGGTGGTTAGTTCACACCCTGGTTTGGGCACTTCAGTTTGGAGACTACTTTTCTACTGCCCAGCAATAGTTGCACCTGTCTCCGATTGTGAATGACTCCTTTGGGTGTGAAGCGGATGTGAGGCAGCTTCTTTAGCCTTCCACCTGGACAGGGCTTGAGCAAACACTTGAGAGCTGAGGTTTGGAGCCTGGACCCTTCTGAGGCCTCTAGCAACCCATGGAGAAGGCCAGCCTGGAGGGGGTCATGAGGCTGGGTCCTGGCTCTGCCCACAAAACTCCAAGCAGCTCCATATTGATTATAGGCTGGACTTTTCCTAAATGATTTGGTTGGGGGAACAAAGAGCTTCATAGCCAGCAGCCCATCAACATCTAGTAACCATCCATTCTAGTTCCGTCTCTGAGGAGCCGGGCTGAATGAATGTCAGACACATAAATCTTACAACAGTTGCATCAGGTTCTAGCATCTCTCTAATTGCCCAGCAATTTCCGTCACTCAGGTGTGGAATCCTGCCAGGTTGTGAGACGTCCTGAGCAGGGAGAAGTTGCCCCTTTGAAGTCATGCTATCAGACCGCACAATGTGGACCCCCCTGATACAATGAGTTGGGCATCTCATGAAGGCAGTCCTAGTCTAAATCCTAGTGACCAGCTAGTGCACAGGAGCAGGCGGGTACGGGCGATACTTTGGTAGAACTGAGCATGACTTGTATGGCTGTTTATGTGACAGAGAAAGTGAGGTTCAGATTGGCACACATTCACGGAAGTTGCCCAGCACCTTTCCTTTCCTAAACACAGAGCTGCGTTTTTCTTACCAGCCGAGGGTAACAGGTTGATCGCTATGAACGCTCTGCAGTGCGTTCTTGGGGAGTCCACAGCGTCACCGGGGCTGAAATCCAGGGCCGTGTGCATGCAAAGCCAACACTCTCCTGATGGTGGCCAGTTTTTGTGTCAACTTGACATGTGCTCGAGTCATCTGAGAGGAGGGAACCTCAACTGAGAAAACGCCTCTGTAAGATCGGGCTGTAGCCAAGAATGTAAGCATTTTCTCAATGACGTGGGAGGGCCCAGCCCATTGTGGGTAGTGCCACCCTGGGAGTCATGAGTTTTATAAGAAAGCAGGCTGAAGCCTGGTGTGGTGGCCCACGCCTTTAAACACAGTGCTTGGGTGGTAGAGGCAGGTGGATCTCTGTGAGTTTGAGGCCAGCCTGGTCTACAGAGCGAGTTCCAGGACAGTTAGGGCTGAAGAGTGACCCTGTCTTTAAAAAGAAAGAAGAAAAGTCAGGCTGAGCAAGCCAGTAAGCAGCACTCCTCACAGCCTCTGCCTCTGCTCCTGCCTCCAGGATCCTGCGCCCTGTGTGGGTTCCTGCCCTGGCTCCTTCTGATGATGAACTGTTATATGGAAGTGTGAATGAAATAAACCCTTTCCTCCCCAAGTGGCTTTTGGCCATGGCGTTTTGTCACAGCACTAGTAACCCTAAGACACTACCACTAAACTATAGCCTCAATCCCAAGACAATTTTTTTTTAAACAGTCTTGTTATGTTGCTCAGGGTGGCCTTAAACTCACGTGCTCGAGTGACTGTCCTCTTCAGTACCCTGAGTAGCCAGGATCATCGGCATGTACCACCATGCCTGAGGGCCCCTTTCATCCAGAGTTTGGATCTTTGGTCCTCATCATTGTGAGCAGCTTAGTAAGAACTGCCCAAGCCTAAGCAAGCCTGGCTCCCACTTCTGGCCCCGCTGTATCCTTTACTCTGAAGGTGCTGTATCCAGCTTGGCTCTGGGAGTTCCTCCTCTTCCATTTACCTGTTGCTCAGGCCCTACTGGTCCACTCTCTTAGAGTCCTGCAGACTCATCCAGAGAAAGGGAAGTCAACCAAACTGAGGATAAATGGGGTGTAGAATGCTGGGGGGCTTTCAGCGATGTAAATCAGAGAGGTGGCTGTCCTGGAGCTAGGGGTGTGGGGCCACTTCCTGCTGACCTTGACATCTGATACACGGTGTGTAGACAAATTTCTAAGTAGTCTTATTAAATAAAAAACACAGAGCCAGAAATAGGGGTGAAAATCTGACCGAGATCAGAGGAATCGGAACAGCCACCAGCGAACCTTATCTCACCACCCCGCAGCTTCCGAAGCGCGAGCTTCCTGTCCACACACACCTTTATTGCCTTGCTGTTTGGCCCTCTCATGGCTCTTAGCCCAGCTACCTCACTTCCTTGTCACTGCCTGTCTGTACAGACCTCCAGGTCTCTATGGTTGGTACTGGGTTTAAAGGTGTGTGTCACCACGCTTGGCTCTGTTCCCTAGTATGGCCTTGAACACAGAGACCCCGCCTGCCAAGTGATAGGATTAAGGGCATGTGCTATTACTACCTGACTTTTGTGTTTACTTAAAACGGCTTGCTATTTCCTCTGATCTCCAGGCAAACTTTATTTATTAACATGCAAATAAAATATCACCACATGGTGTGTTAGGAAATGTCCAACAGCTGTCTCTCAGAACAAAACAGGATGATGTGCCCGTGATAGTTAATTGTATGTGTCAACTTGTCTGTGTCATGTGGTATCCAGGCATTTGAGTAATAAGCATTACTTCGTCATTTGCAATCTTGTCTTACTTAATGTGGGTAGTTGGGTCTTGGCCAGTCAGCAGAAGCCTTGAGTGTTGAAGACTGAGTGAGGACACTCCTCCTGCCCAGTGACTGGAGCAGGGCCGTCCACCATCTTTTCCCACCTTTGCGTTAGAGCGGAAGCATTAGTTCTTCCTTTCAACTGAAACTGTTATTACTTTTCCTGGAGAGGCGCAAAGAAACACCAATTTGCTCCAGGTAGGACATCAGCAGACCAAACAAGCTATTCCATTCAAGCCCAATTTGTAAACGAATGAGCTTGTTAGGGTTCCTAACAGCAGCATAGGGTTACTTAGAGGAGGGGGGTGACTCAAAGGCAGCAACATCACAGCCAAGTCCCATGCTGACCTGGGAACTCTGAAAAGCTGTCACTGGAATCCCCGTCAGCTTTCCACCTTATAGACTCCAGTACCTCCCCAGATCACAGGAAGCGGGGAGGAGACAGCGGGGAGTGGTGCCTGGAATCATAGGTTAGGTTCCGATGATGCTGCCTCTTTCTTCAAGGGAATAATAGGCCCGATCTTGTCAAGGGCTCTGCAGGTAACCACAGATGATCTGATATCAAGACAGATCAAGGTCAAGTCATGGCCTGGGGACAGAGTTCAAAACCAGCCGCACCACTAGCTCTCCTGGGTCTCTAGACCTTGGGCCAAGGCTGCCTCCATAGCTGTCTAAGCCAACACTTGAAATAAGCGCCTCTCTCTCCTCCCCCTTCCTGCCATTTCAGCTGTTCCTGACTACACCACCAGCTTACGGCAAGCTTGATTGGCAGAGCTTGCCAGCTTCCACAGTGGAACGGGTGACTAGGCTACCCACACCACTGAGCTAGTGACATCTTCAGGGTGAGACGTGGCAGTGGCATTTGTATTGCCCCAGTCTACCACGGTTCATACTCCTTCCCAGAAGAGAACAGATTTGATTTGTGGGGTTCCTAAGAGTTCCAAGGTCATGCACATGAGGTCTCCCATTTTCGGTTTCCAGGAGGTCAGCAGTGAGCAGCCGCTGGCTTGAATGTCTCTCTTACACACCCTGGCACCCCTGCCCATGACCCAGTTGACAGTAAGATAAGGTCCCTTGCTTCTTCTCTGACTGCCTCTCCCAGGTCCCAGTCCTTGGTTTCAGGCTCAGAACTAGAACTGGGACACCGGAAGAAGCAACTCTGGCCAGAATGACACATAGAGTCCTGGTCCAACTTACCAGGGAGCTCTGAGCCCAGCTATCACAGGTATCAGCCTAGACAGGAAGTGCCCCATTAAAAAAAACAACAACAAAAACTTCCTTGGATCATAGTGATGGGCAGAGCAGGATTCAGCTGTGTGAGTTCTGCCACCCCCCCACACTCTTCCAACATCTTCTGAGAGAACATGATTCTCTGATTGCCAGTGGCAGCCTCCACCCCTGGCAGTTCTACAGTGACTCCGCCCCTGACCAGGCCAACGCCTTTCTTAGCTCCTGGGGTGGTGCAGGCTCCTGCGGCACTCTGATGTGACTAGACAGCCTGTCAGCCTACACGCAACCCACGTAACCTTTTTTTGAGCCTCACTTTTTCCTCACGTCTAAAGGGGAAGATAACGTACCCCACTTGACATAAGCTAAAGTTATTTGAAAGGAGGTAATCTCAACTCAGACAAGGCCTCCATATGATCAAGCTGTAGGGTATTTTCTTAATGGTTGATGGGAGAGGGCCCAGCCCATTGGGTGGTGCCAGCCCTCGGTAGTGGTCCTGGGTTCTATAAGAAAG